TGTCTGCAGGAATTGTGTGTGACTTTCCCATGGTGCAGCAGGGCCTGAGGAGTAGGCAGTCACACGTCGATCAGTGGAAAAAACTGACATTGCAATGCGCTATATATAAGCACTAAGTGTCCTATTTAATCTTATTCAGTTGAAAATGTGTGCTTACGCATAAAAACAACATACGGATAGTAATATGACGTGCACGCGTAATATTAATATTTGGAGCAACTTTTACTTCATGTATTTCGACCCTCTATTCTAGGAAACTATCTAAAAGACTTTAAGGCCGTTTTCCACTTGGCGAAATTTTCCGCGCGGAGCGGAATTTCTCTTTGTCTTTTCTGATTAGTTCCACCCTCTGAGAGATCAAAAGATAGGTCACCGATGAAACTAATGAGTAAAATGCAAATAAAGTTAGAAAATAGCCTCGTGTAACTCGAGAAATTCCCCTATTGAAAAGCGTCGCTGACTAATAAAAGATTGTACGCGAGCGCAGAACGAGTTTTCATTCAGCAAAATCGATCGGCAATGTTGTTTTTACTGTTTTGTTTTTGTCAACTTTTCGATTTATTTGAGTGCCATGGACAGCCAAGGATTATTGTGAAGGATCAAATCGGTGAAAACAAGGTTGAAGCTAATTGAATCCTGCCGTTTACTCAATCTATGAGCTGTAACAGCCTATTAACAGGTGGACGTGTTTTTTTGTTTCATGTTTGGTTTTGTACTTTTTGCTAAAAATGAACAATTAGGCTATGAAACTGAAATATTTTTCTGTTTACATATAATCACTTTAATCTTGTAGAGACACGACTAAAAACGTGAACGTTTTCTTGAGAAGTAAACAACTTTTTAAACCTTTGTAACTATGCAATTTTGCATAGTTTTTACAGTTGACAGTGTCTATAAAAAAAAATTAAAAACATAGTTTCGAAGCTATTTTTTGGTCTAGTGATATTCGTATCATATGTAGAATTGCTGTATAGACTCGCAAGTGATTTGGCACTCAAAACGAAGTATTATTCAATGCTTTTTTCCATTAGAAACCTTTCAGAAATAGCTTTATTTTTAAAAAAAGCGTGGTCAATTTTTGTTTTGTTTTGATCATGCAGTTGGGTGGGATAGTTCACGTACTGGTCCCGCGAACATCCCGCACGCAACTGTAGGTTAGGGAGGCTCCCTACAGTTGCGTGCGGGATGTCCGCGGGACCAGTACATCTCGAACTCATTAATAATTCATGAGCAAATTAGCGAATGAACTCACCCTAATTCGTCACATGATTGAGGTTGGATACCGCAAGGAAACACGCTAAAAATCATATACCATCACTGTTGTTAGATGAAAAACGGTTTTCATCTAATAACTGAGATCCTAATTACAAATTCAAATCAAAACACAACAATATACTATAATAATTACTGACGGTCATAATAACCTATTGTTTTCTCTCTGCATTATATCAGCGAATGTCGAGAAGCTAAAATAGCACCCAGCATTATTAAAAATAATGCAGCGTGCACACAGCATTATTAAAAATAATGCAGCGTGCACACAGCATTATTAAAAATAATGCAGCGTGTATCAGTGCACACAGACATTATTCGCAATCCTTCGTCATCCTGACAAGTACACGCGATAACGTGAACATCTCAAGATGAGAAGTTGACAGTGCTAAAGGCCCCTCATACAATAGCCTGCATGGCAGGCGGTACGTAGGAAATACCTTTGCTTCCCTAATTTTCGCTGCCCGTAGAAATACCGCCTGCCATGCAGGCTACTCATACAATATCATCGGGCGCCTGAAGCACTGCCAAAACGGTCGCTGTGAGTCCTTTCAGCTCAACTTTATAGAGAAATAGTTTCGTTTGCGCTTGTGGGATTTTATCCTAGATATACGCATGTGCAGAACACACCATAAGTTCTATTCCCGTGTTTATCAACACCGCGGAAAAACGTCTGCGCATGCGTCCACCTTACCTGTAATAGTATTGCGAACTTGATGAGAAGCTGTTCCGAACGTTTCCGAAGGCTCAAAATGGCGGTAAAAGGGAGTGACTTCATTGTGCGTCTTTACAGCCAGATTTCGAGCGCAAAAATAAACATGTCATTCTAAAAACTAGGAATAAATACAGCCAGAAGGTTCAAGAAATTGTATTGTACAAGAACATGAACTAAAAGTGATTGTTGACAAATTTATCATCTGAAACATTTTGTTTATCAACTAAGCAACGACCATTACCGAATTTTCGTTTGAGATACATTTCTTTAAAAAAACCTGTGTCGCCAAATATAAAAAATTTTCGTGTTCACAACAATTAAACTTTAGGATTTATTCTACAATTTGAGTGGGTAGGAAGCTTAACTTTTCGAGAGTTTTCTTAACTTTTGAGTTTGAATTTTTGTTTTGAATAATTTTGCAAAAGTTTTCGAAGTCGTGTCCGTTAAAATCAACAATTTTTTACATGAATTATATTTCATTCCATACTTTAAATGGCAGGACGCTTTCAATTAATGTCTAGTCTACCCATTTGCTATATTTTCTCGTTTGTTTTACTAATTTTTGACCAATTAATAAGCATGTTTTTGTTTTAGAAATTGATATTCAAATTCCCCGCCATATTTTCATAATTTGGTGCATGCGCAGACGTTTTTCCGCGGTGTTGTGTTTATCCAGTTTAATACGCTCTTTGAATTAACCTTATCATTAATGATAATATGTAAACTAGAACACTATAATTGACCTCCGCTTGTGGAGATTTTAATTTAGGGCGATTAATTAAACTGAAATCTGTTCTATCACGATGCATTACATGCATGTCCTCAAAAATGTCTAGTGTAACGTTGGATAGATTCATTGTCATACGGTCCCAACAAGCAGCAACGTAGTCTTCCAGCCGAAAATAATTACTTTTGATTCGGGTCAGTAATTATAATAGATAATTACTATTATCTATTAAATAATATATATAATATAATAAAAGGTCCCCCGTTAGCGCTTAATAAATTGAACAGCCAATGAAATGTTTTCGTTCGAGATGTTGTGTACTCGTTTCTCGTGTTTCATCAGGGGACCAAACACTCGAAAACAATAAAACACTCGCGCTTCGCGCTCGTGTTTCATACAGTTTTCTCGTGTTTGGATCCCCTGATGAAACACTCAAACTCGTTGTTTACATATAACATGAACTATCCCACGCAACCGCATGATCAAAACAAAACAAAAATTGACCACGCTTTTTTTAAAAATAAAGCTATTTTTGAAAGGTTTCTAATGGAAAAAAGTGTTGAATAATGCTTCGTTTTGAGTGCCAAATCACTTGCGAGTCTATACAGCAATTCTATATATGATACGAATATCACTAGACCAAAAAATAGCTACGAAACAATGTTTTTTAATCTTTTTTAAATATACACTGTCAACTGTAAAACATTTGCAAAATTGCATACAAACGTTTAAAAAGTTGTTTACTTCTCAAGAAAACGTTCACGTTTTTAGTCGTGTTTCTACAAGGTTAAAGTGATTATATGTAAACAGAAAAATATTTCAGTTTCATAGCCTAATTGTTCATTTTTAGCAAAAAGTACAAAACCAGACATGAAACAAAAAAACACGTCCACCTGTTAATAGGCTGTTACAGCTCATAGATTGAGTAAACGGCAGGGTTCAATTAGTTTCAACCTTGTTTTCATCGATTTGATCCTTCACAATAATCCTTGGCTGTCCATGGCACTCAAATAAATCGAAACTGAGTTGACAAAAACAAAACAGTAAAAACAACATTGCCGATCGATTTTGCTGAATGAAAACTCGTTCTGCGCCCGCGTACAATCTTTTACTAGTCAGCGACGCTTTTCAATAAGGGGAATTTCTCGACTGGTTACACGAGGCTATTTTCTAACTTTATTTGCATTTTACTCATTAGTTTCATCGGTGACCTATCTTCAAATTTTGACCACGAATTTATTTTGCGGTAAATTTTATAAATTTCAATTTTTAAAAAAATCTTTAGTGTGGAAATTTCGCAATCAAATTTTCGCTTTTAAAAAAATCACACACTACACTTTTTTTAAACTTTCACCACAGTTGCAGAGCATCATTCCCTATTGATATATGAAATAAAAAAGATAGGTCACCGACATCGTTTTTGAGATAGCGGCACATTTATGGGTTAAATTGGAAGGCTTTATGCTGTCGTCATGTTGCCATGGAAACATTGACGTTGTCGAAATCTAGTTTGAAATATTCTTTAGGTAACCAATATTGCCACCAAGTCGAAAAGAATTCGCGTTCTGCACGAATAAGCATGTTTTACGGAATTATTGCTTAAACAAGAACAACTGTAGGGAGCCACCTTAACTGACTCTTTTTAGTACTGGTTAGGTCTAAAATTTGCAAAGAATATGTACAATTTTAATTTCGTTCGATGGTTCCATCTCCCAACCCCTCTGAACAATTTTAAATTTAGAATATTTATCATATTACGAAGCTTTACGCTATTTCACTATAGATGTACCTAATCATTGTTTTAATTACCTATAGACTGCAGGTTCTCTATAGGATTCTTGAAAGCAGGCGTTGCTTTCGTTGTTTCCCAGTCATTGTGACGCTTGAAAAATTTTTCGATACGTAGTGCTGTTTTCTACAAATCGAGGAAAAACATAATTATATGGACTATGGTACTAATATGTATAGTTATAGCCGGTAAAAATTCAGTTCACGTCAAATAACAATGTACAATAACAAGTTAGCTTTTTTATTCCAATTACAAGTGATAAAAGCAAACCAAAGAATGATTCAAGTGGGCATTATGCGTGCACAAAAGATTCCGGAATGAAAGTGTGCCTTCTAAACTGGCATGGAACAAACTGTTTAACTTATTGTAAAGAGCAAAATAGTACTAGTGGTCATTATTACTGTGATGGGGAGAATGGTTCGAAGACATGCAAAGCATAATGGGAGCATCATTTAATGAGTTGATATATGAGAACCATTTCTTGCAGACATGACAAATATCCCTTACGAGAACAATTCATTCACAAATAGCAGCAATAGTCAACTACTAAGCTTGAAACTTGTGCTCCAATTAAGCTTTGCGCGCTTAGAGTTTAAGGTTTAAGGTTTAGAGCCTAAAGTTTGCAAAGGACAACCTTAGATTTTGAATTAGCTGTATATCATGATTAAGATTATATACATGCACTGAAGATCACATTGTTCTCTATATACAGTGACATCGATCAAGTGCACCCATGCTTTCGATGTTTTTACTATTCTGCAATTGTTTTAGATCCCTAACTCGTAAACGTTTAAGAGCAGTTTACCCTACAACATTTCAAAATATTCTCAAAAATTTCACACTCCACAATTTTCTCCTGCATTTGGGGCCCTCCTCTGCAAATTCCATATATAATTTATCGGGGGGGGGGCATTAATTAACTCGGAGCCCGGGACAACTTACCCCTTTTCCCCCTCCCCCCTCATCCCTTTGAGCGGCCCTGCCAATATTTGAAACATGAGATACCTGAAAATGAGTGAACTTTGTCGGATCTTCTTTTTTTCTTAAATATTTCTCAAACTGTGGTTTTTGGAATTTCCTTTTCTCTTCATCGGAAAAGTCATCGGGAGGCTCTAGTCCGAAGTACTTCTCAACACACTTCTTAAAGAAGGGGATATCTGTCTGATCGGTCCCTGTAATCATACTAAATAAAATACACGCAAGCATATATAGCTAAACGTTTTAACTTCATATTTTATTAAATCTGTACAACCCTATACTCCCATCTTTTGTAAATATCATATATTGTACTCCAACACATTCCTCTCCTGTATATGTAAAATATATACCGAACTGCAAAACATAACCAGAGACTCTATAGCCCTATCACTTGTAAATATTATTTCAATTATTTGGTTACGTGATGTTATAAATAGGGCAAAAATAGAAAATAAATAATTCAGTACATTATGACGTAGGCCCATATGCAGTATGTCCTCAAAATTTCAATCATCATAATCCAGCTTTGACATCGTGTTCAAGCGAGATGGCCAAAATTGGCATTCGCTCGAAACGTCGAAATTCTTCTTGCATCCCTATCAACGAAAGCTTGTTCATTTGATTGAGTTAACTTAAACATATCTTGACAGAAAAACATTAATTCTTATTATAAACTCCCTGATTTTTAGTAAAATGTATTACTGCTCTGCTTTCTGGTTTAAAACATCCCAAAGAAATATTGAAAAGCTTCAAGTGGTCCAGAACTTTGCTGCACTTATTGTCACCGAAACAAGAAAATACGATCACGTGACTCGTGTTCTGCAACAACTGGGCTGGCTTCCAGTCAAATATATGTTAAAATTAAGAGAAGCCATTTTTTGCTTTCAAATGCTTGAAGGGGTTGGCACCATCGTATTTGTGTGAGAAGTTTCACGTCAGGTCAGATGTTCATGACGTTAATACAAGGCAAAATAACATTTTGGATATTCCAATGTACAGATCAGCTGCGGGTCAACGAACATTTCATTATAGGGTTGTGTCGGTGGAATTCTCTGCCTCAGTCTCTTAAAAACATTGATAGTTTGACTCATTTAAAGTAGAATACGTATGTTATTAGAAGAATTCTTAACTGAAAGTGATTTTTAACAGATTTATAGAATATTTTAGAACTATATGTTAGAACTATATGTCAAAACTCAAAATTAGTTTTTAGATATTTTAGATATAGAATTTCATATTTGTAATTAGATCCTGAAAAGCCCAATTGAGAGTATCTAATATTGTATAATAATAATAATTGGCACTACCTACACTGGCAAAGACAATTCAAGTTTATATGATAGTAAACCTTGTTTCAAAATCAATTTTATAGGTTGTGTAAGCGGTCGGTTTTTGCGACCTAGGATGGCCAGTGGCGTAGCCAATGGAACTGAAGAACGTAGGGCGACAGCCTACGCAATGACCTCCAGGACTGTTAATTTAAGAAGTTCAAATCCAGGCAGAGCAGTGAGGTATGTTAATGATACCCATCTATTTAGCAAATTGTCTAAAAGTTGTATAGTCTTTTAAGGAAACGTATTCTGTAACTTTAGTTTATTGTATAATGTTTTAGCAAAACATTGAGCTATAAAATGTGACAAAGTCTTGCAGTTTTCCATGCATGTTGCATGTTCTTGTTCTCGTTGATCTATAATAATTCAAATGTGACCTACATATAAATTGCCTTCTTTGTGGCAATGCCTATATAGTTTTTTAGAGCACGTCTCAAAAGGGTTTCTCGGGAAAGTATATATGCTCCAAGCTCCGATCCCCACTCCCTAAAATTAATATTCATGCATCTGCATTGGCGCTCGAATTCGGGAATTTTGACTAAGTTTGCTTCCCCAAATCAACACCCTGACCATACCACTCATAACTATGTCCATGTGTATATCTTATACATTATATAGTGTACATTTTACTAAAACACAAAACAGTGTACATGTACCGGGTGGGGCAAAAAAAAGTACGACTGTTTGAATTGCTGCAAAATCAAAACTAAAATTGCAATGACACTAAAACAAGTTTTTTGGCATTCAGCGATATCCAACTTAAATTTTGATATATGCCATGCACATTTCCATGCCATATTGTCAACGATACATGCATTTAAACAGGAGTAAACATTTTTGGAACTGACGAAATTAGCTAAAAATGGCTTATTAAATATTAATACATACAACACGCAATGAATTGTGTTAAGACGCATTATACTTTATTGTCAGTACGTTCACTATTGTGGTTCAAAAACAATCGTCTACATTCATCAGTAAATGCATGTCCCCCAGCACGAATGCAACGTCTTGCTCGTGAAATCATACAATCGAAAGAATTTTGGATCATTTGCTGTTTCAAGTTGCGGCATTCTGTAACAATCGCTCCACGAAGCTCTCTCAAATTGGGTTTCAGAACCGGAGTTATTTGAATCGCATATAGACTTGTCCCAATCCGAATTGGAGGTACTCTCTCGCGTCGAGATTTCATTCAACAAAGTGTGGAGCCAGAACAACTGACCTCGTCCAGCCAACCCACTAATTAAAACAATAATCGCGAGAAAATGGTAAAGGTTATTCAAGTGGTTTTAGTAGGGCCTTTTCAGCTAATTCACGGCGGTTCCAAAAATGTTTGCTTAAGTTTAAATACAGTTATCTTTGTCAATATTGCATGAAAAGGTACAAGACATATATCAAAATTTAAGTTAAACATCGTGGAATATACGGTGACTTATTTAAGTGTAACAGCTATTTTACTTTCTAAGTCATGGTAAATCAAACTGTCGTACTTTTTTTTGCCCTACCCGGCATACGTTCAGTTAATGTTTAAGATTCTGTCATAAATATATATATATATATATATATATATATATATATATATATATATATATATATATATATATATATATATATATATATATATATATATAAATATATATATATATATATC